GGAGGAGGGGGGGAGGGGGAGTTTTTGGAAGAGGTTGGGAGGGAGATAAAGGGGAGCGAACCTTGCTTCTGTCTATCGGGTTCTTGTGACAATCCCTCAGGCAGAGGTTGGGCAGGAGGAGGCTCGCGAAGGTTCAGCAGAAGACTTCTTCCTCCTCTCATCTTTGAAGACTCCTCCGCCTGCGATTATTCGTCAGAGGAGACAGAAAATATCTTCCTGCTCCTCCTCCCCCCGCCTCTTCCCATCCATTGCCGTTTTTGCTTCTTTCCCTTCTCCTTTCCTTCCTCCCGCTTCTTCTCCTCTTTGCTCCCTTCTCCTCCACATTCCTCCATTCCCACGTCAAATATCTCCAACCTCCTCCTCCTCCTCCTCCTCCTCCTCCTCCTCCTTTGCCTGCTCCCTCATCTTTCTCCTCCATCCCTCCTCCCATCAGCTAGCCTACCTGGTCGAGCATCCCCATCGCTCCTCGAGGTCGACGAGCAGGCATCCTGTGCGTCCCCTTCATCTCCTCCCTCCCACAATCAAGTCAAATTACCTCTGCGCCTCTTCCTGCGCCTCCTGCTCCGATCCTCTTCGTCCTTCTTCCCCTCCTCCACCCTCGACGCCCCTCCTCCTTCCTCCTTCGCCTCCTCCTCTCGCACTCGACGGCTCCTCAACCGCACCAGGAGTCTCCTCACCTCTCCTCCTCGCCGGTTCTTCAGCTGGTCCCGACGCTGCCTCCCCATCGTCCTCTTGCTGCCTCGCTGCCGGCTGACCTTGTCTGTGAGGCTGGCTGGATCCTCCTCCTCCTCCTCCTCCTCCTCCTCCGCTCCCCGGACCGTCTGCTCCCCCTCCTCCTCTTCCTACATCTCCTCCTGTGGTCTTCTCACTTCCTCTCAGCAGGACATTCAGCCTTGTAGAAGCGTCTGAGTTGAGGAGGGTGGGCCCTGAGCTCAGCAGGGACAGCAGCGGCTTGCTCTCCTCATCCCCTCTTGCTCTGCCACCAGCTAAGAATCCTCCTGCTCCTCCTGCTCCTCCTAGCTTGAAGCTGAACGGCTTTGAGGTGATGGCAGAGACTTTCTTCTCGGGCTGCTGAGGAGGCAGAGGAGGAGGCGACTGACGTGGTCCTAGGGCAGTTGAGTGAGACCAGAGGGAGGGGATGGAGTTAAGGGGCTGGAGGGAGGAGGAAAGAGAAATAGAAAGTCCCATGAGCCTCAAGTGTGAGAAGGGAGGAGAGAAGGTAGGGAACGAAGGAGGAGAGAATCGAGGAGAACAAAAGAGGAGAGGAAAAGAGGAGAGGAAAAGAGGAGAGGAGGGAGGAGAGGAGGGGCAGGGGGAGAGGATGGAAATACCTTGAGTGGCTGAAGCTCTTGAGACTAAGTCATCAAAGAGTTGGATCTTCGATTGAGTAGTTTCCTGCTGTATGGTGAGAGATGTGAAGGAAGGAGACGGAGATGGAGGCACAAGGACAGGAAAGTGCAAA